CACATGGATCACGTTCGCCATCAGAGCAGCCACTGTACATAGATCAGGACAAAGAAAACATGGCTTCTCTCTTTGCCGTTCTTCTCAGAGAGAGAAATAAAACACACACAAAAGCAACACAGAGTGGATGTTCTGCTCACGAGACTCCAACAATCTGTGCTGGAATGTAAACAGACATGTGACATGTAACAATCCCGCACATTTGCAGCATGGGAGGAATGGAATTCCCAACGGTATCATCCCTGAGGGGGGTGACAAAATGACGCTTAGCTCAGGGTCTGGCCTGCAGTGCACCCGAGCCACGCGTCTCTCCTGGGAGTGACGTGGTGACTCAGGGCCCCGTGCTGCCCGAAACGGCAGCATGGGGCTTGCATCCACCAGGCAGACTCCATGGGCAGCTCGCCATGTAGCCCCCATGCACAGATCGCCCCGTCCTGCTGCTCCAGGTGTCACGGTCTGGTCTACAGGCAATCGAAGTCCTGGCTGAGGACGTCGGGACCGGGGGCAAGATGGCTGGGTGGGAGCAGGAATGAGAGTCCAGAAGCCAGGGGTCCGAGGGTCAGGAAGCAAGGAGTCATGAAATCAAGGGTCTGAGGGTCGAGAAGCAAGGAGTCACGAAGTCAAGGGTCTGAGGGTCAAGAAGCAAGGAGTCAAGGAGCTGAGGTCCGAGGATCAGGAAGCAAGATGCCAAACGCAGCAAGGCAGGAAACGTGTTGCTGTGGCAAAGAGCCGAAGGGAAATGTTGACCTTATATCCCTTCCCGGCTCTTGCCACCAGGTGCAGCAAGTTACCAAGCGGCCTCACCTGTGCGCATAGCTGTCAACCGTCCCTTATTTGGCGGGAAACTCCCTTATCCCAGCGCTGTGTCCCGCTGCTGTCCCTTATTGATGATGTCCCTTAAATTTCCCAGGTTTCAAAGGAAGCAGCTCCTTTCCCTCCCTCCCTGCCGGCCAGGGAGGAGGGAGGCTCCAACTGTGTTGCTTGGCTGCCTGGCCTGCCCCCCTCCAGCCTCCTATCACCAGCCTCGGCCCCCGGGAGCCCCTCCCCGCCGGGACTGGAGGGAGCCTCAGGCCCTTCCGCCACCATCCTCCTTGTGGCTGGTGAACTGAGGTTCTCTACCTGGGGCCTCCCCTCTGCCCGTTGTCGTCGCTCCCGCTAGGCCGTACTGTGGCTGCGCCACCAAAGGACCCGGAGGAGATGGGCAGCCTGGCGCGGCCTATGAATTGCTGAGGAGCCTTGAGAGGAGAGTGAGGGCAACCATAGAGAAAGCAGTTCAGAGAGAGGAGGAGGAGGAGGAAGCGGAGGCGGAGGCGGAGGCGGAGGCGCGGGCAGGTGTTCCAAGGGCTAACCATAGAGGGGGAAAGCGGAGGAAGGACCGCAAGCACTTCTCCCATAGATTTGTAGTGGTAGACTAGCATAGATGGTCTGATCTGTGGGTTTACTTCAGGCGCTATTCCCCCCCCTTCCTCCTGCCCCACCTGATGGAACTGAGAGCTGCAGATGGAGCACGAGAGAAAAGATACAGAACTGCAGCAGCATCTTCGTAGCTTGGACTTCGTTTTGCATGAAAAGTGGTTGCTGCTTGTAGTTATTTAATTGTAGTGTTTCATCAGCTGGTGTCTTGAGCAGCAACCTCTGGAAATGAAGGGCTAAAAACTGGCGCTGCTCTCCCACATTATCTGGTCCCTTTTAACTTCATATTTCAGCTGGTTGACTAAAATCCCTTATTTTGGCTGCTGATCCCTTATTTTTGAGGCTGCTGGTCCCTTATTTTCAAATCTGTAAGTTGACAGCTATGCCTGTGTGGCAGTGCCTTGCCTCTCCAGAACAAACTTAGGGAGGCCCCAGTCCTGCAAAGCCCTACTGGCCACAGGGCCTGGCTACTGCATGCACTCCTGACACCGGGTGCCAGAGCAGCTAGCTACACTCCTGCATGTGTGCTACTGGCATGGGCTAGAAATAGATGGATCTGCCCATCCTTGTTAGGAAATGATGTTCTCTGCTCCATGGGTCAAGCTGTTGTAACTGCAGCCTCTCAGTTCCCAGCTCCCAACTCTCTCAGCCCATGCCCAGTCCTGACAGTCCCGAACATATGCATGACCCAAGGAGAAGTGAGAGAGACAAGATGTGCCTGCCCTAAGTTTGCATCAGAAACACACCTCGCTGCAGGAAACTCTGCAGAGGTAAAGAGCCGCTGCTGCTGTTACTGCTATTACTAAATAATTTGCAAATAACAGGTATAATTGGCCCACTTCTCTAATTAAGTCAGCCAGTATTATGAGCTTTCTGCCACTGCTGCCTCACTGCCTGTGGCAACCATGTATTAATTCTCTTAATTAGACCCCATTTTCAGCTAAAAATGATTCTGTTTTGTTGATTAAAATGCCATGTAAACACAAAGATTTCCCCATTTCTTTAATGTCTCAAGCCAAGATGGTCCCTGCTGGAAATGCAACCCCCGTAGTGCACAAATGAGCTAATCATTCCCATGTGGAGAAAAAAATAGTTTGATAAATCACATACCAGCTATAATCTATGCAAAGTTAAGAAAGGGGTGCTGGGCGGATGATTTCTTGAAGAAACCTTGGTACACTGAAATGGCCAAGGGTTGGTTGGTTTTTTTAAAAATAAAATATTTCTACGATTTCAATCATGGTTTGTTTGATTTTTAACTTGTGTTTTATTTTTTTTAAATGACTTTTATTGATGGTTTTAGTTAATGGATCTATTCTGAGCATGACGTCTTTGGATACTAACCTGTTTTAAAATAATTTTTATTCAGTTCTGATCATAAACCAAATACTGTTTTGGCTTCTTCTTCTTCTTCTTCTTCTTTACAAAGAACATAATAAATAGTATTTTTTGGATGAAGCTTTCTAGGGAGCAATAAGCGGCAGTTGGTTTTTCTCTAACAAGGTGGGTGGGTGAGAAATAGGGCAATCGCTCAGTTACCGAAAACAATCTGATTTCACATTTGTTCCAAAGCAAAAACACTGATGTGTGCGCTGTGTATCCCACTGCCTTTAATAATTCAGAGGTGGAAAGGTTCCTGTCTGTCTCTATTAATGCAAAACTGAGTTGATAGCAAAATGACAGACGCTGTACCTCTTTGTCTCATCTTTTCCCTGAGGGTCACTCTCCAATTTTTTTCTCTCAGTTGCCTCCTAAAAGAAATCCATCATTTAATAATTGTGCTATTATTACAGGAGATGTCCTGCGCTTCGAAGGTCACGAACGCACAATAGCTTCCCTGGCACAAAGATTCGCAACACTGACCGTTACCTTGGGAAGCCCCCCCCCCCCCCCGACAATGTGAGCAGTTTTGCTGGACGTGAGTATATGGGAGCAAAAGGTGACCCACATTTGTGGAAAGGAGATAACCTGCTGCAAAATATCAGGGAATAAAAGCTAGCTTTGGCTTTTGATATGGTGAAAAAGAGGTGTTAAAACAGTAATCCTAAACCAGGGGTACCCAGGGCCAGATGTGATGAAGTGGACATGCCTGGGGGCCGACCAAAGCTTTTTTTTTTAAAGATTTTACCCCAGAGTTGTTGAGCTTTTTTGGGATTTTACCCCGGATTAAAATGACCGACGGGCCGAATTAGGTCCCAAAACGGACTTTAAACATGCCTGTAAGCCCCAATATCTGGGACCATTCCACAGTGATCTCTTCCGCCTTAGTTCCACAGTCAACCTAGCTCTTGAACCTAGAGGAGATGCATTTAAAGGGCAAACTAGCCATTTAAATAGAGACACCTTCCAAGAAACATGGACCCCTTTCTTTAACTATGTTACTGGCCAAAATCAAGAGCTTGCTATATGAGTATGTGAGTATATTGTGTTCAATATACTCTATGTGAGTACAGTGGTACCTCAGGTTACATACGCTTCAGGTTGCAGACTCCGCTAACCCAGAAATAGTACCTCGGGTTAAGAACTTTGCTTCAGGATGAGAACCGAAATCATGCTCCGGTGGTGTGGTGGCAGCAGAAGGCCCTATTAGCTAAAGTGGTGCTTCAGCTTCAGGTTAAGAACAGTTTCAGGTTAAGAATGGACTTCCGGAACGAATTAAGTACTTAACCCGAGGTACCACTGTATATTGTATTCAATTATGGGGTATCAGAGTTTTTAGGGGTTAACCAGACTGGGATAGCAGGCATAGCAGGCTTGTTGGTTTTTGAATGTCTGATGTAGATTTTTCAATTTCGTTGTTCTGTATGGGACAATGACAATAAAGATTATCATATCGTATCTTATTATTGTATCTTAATATTCTCAGTGGAGAATATTAACTGTACTGCTGGATAAGGGTTTAATAGTTGTATCTGTATTTGTTTAAAAACTGATGTATCTGTATTTGTTTAAAAACCAGCCATTTAGCTGGAAAGTTTGTTGCAGATGTTAAATATTGCACAGTTTGAAGTGACTGGAAGGATAAGAACAGACTCCTTTGGAAATGAAGCATTGCCCGGACCCATGAAAATATTATTTATTTTTTTACTAGCAGAACTTGCTTCTAAACAGAAGTAAAACATCAAAAATATCCATACAATATTTTGTGCTGTCCAGCACAGGCTCAACATCTTACAAAATATGAAATAATACAACTAGATCAATGATAATGATAATGATAATTTTTTATTTCTACCCTGCCCACTCTGGGCAGTTCACAACAGAATTAAAAGCACAATAAAACATCAAACATTAAAAACCTCCCTAAACAGGGCTGCCTTCAGGTGTCATCTAAAAATCAGATAGTTGTTAATTTCCTTGACATCTGGTGGGAGGGTGTTCCACAGGACAGGCGCCACTACCAAGAAGGCCCTCTGCTTGGTTCTCTGTAACTTTGCTTCTCGCAGTGAGGGAACCACCAGAAGGCCCTCAGTGCTGAACCTCGGTGCCTGGGCTGAACAATGGAGGTGGTATACTGGTATACTGGGCTGAGGCCGTTTAGAGCTTTAAAGGTCAGCACCAACACTTTGAATTGTTTTTTTTTTTTAAAGCAATTTATTGGGTTTTACAATAGGAATAGATGTAATAAACAATATAGCATTCGTCTTAACATAATTTCACATTTTCTTTGGACTTCCTCACATCTCCCGCTCCCACCTTCATCATTATAACATTTTGTCAGCAATTTATCATCTTATTTAAATTCTTATATCTCTTCGATATTTCATAATCTTAAAGTTCTCATAAAGAGTTAAACTTTCACAATTTTTCTTGTTTCCTTAAAAATTTCTAAGTTAAGTGGTGCTCAGTTATTTAGTCCAGCATCTTATTCAGCATTCAATCAAATCACAATGTTTTTGTAGGTAGTTCTTAAATTTCTTCCAATCCTCCTCGATTCTCTCTTCTCCCAGGTCACGGATTCTGCCGGTCATTTCAGCCAGTTGCATATAGTCTATCAGTTGCATCTGCCATTCTTCCAGTGTGGGTAGATCTTGGGTTTTCCAATGTTTTGCGAGTAGTATCCTTGCTGCTGTTGTTGCATACATAAAAATGTCTGGTCCTTCTTTGCCACCCCTTGGCTGACAATACCCAAAAGGAAAGCCTCTGGTTTCTTAGTGAAAGTATATTTAAATACCTTTTTCAATTCATTATAAATCATTTCCCAGAACGCCTTCACTTTAGGGCATGTCCACCAGAGGTGAAAGAACGTTCCTTCACACTCTTTGCATTTCCAGCACTTGTTGTCAGACAGGTGGTAAATTTTTGCAAGTTTGACTGGGGTCATATACCATCTATAAATCATTTTCATTACATTTTCTTTCAAAGCATTACATGCAGTAAATTTCAATCCATTACTCCACAGCCTTTCCCAGTCCTCAAACATAATATTATACCCAATATCCTGTGCCCACCTTATCATGGCCGATTTAACCATTTCATCCTGTGTATTCCATTCCAACAGCAAGTTATACATCCTTGAAAGTATCTTAGTCTTTGGTTCTAACAATTCTGTTTCTAATTTCGATTTCTCCACCTGGAACCCTAGTTTCTTATCACTTTTAAAAACTTCTTTAATCTGAGCATAGTGTAACCAATCTCGCACTTTGTCTTTCATTTTCTCCAAGCTCTGCAATTTCCAATTGTCTCCATCTTTTCTAGTATTTCCCAATATTTTGGCCATTTGGCCTCCATATTGGGTCTTTTTCGAGCCTTAGCTTCCAAAGGTGAAAGCCACCTTGGTGTTTTATTTTCCAGCAAGTCTTTATATTTTGTCCAGACATTAAACAGTGATTTTCTAACAATATGGTTCTTAAAGGCCTTATTTGCTTTAACTTTGTCATACCATAAATATGCATGCCATCCAAAAACATTGTTAAACCCCTCCAAATCTAACACATCAGTGTCTTCAAGAAGTAGCCAGTCTTTTAGCCAGCAGAACGCTGCGGCTTCATAGTACAACTTTAAGTCTGGCAGGGCAAAGCCCCTCTTTGTTTAGCATCGGTTAATATCTTAAACTTAATTCTGGGCTTTTTGCCCTGCCAGACAAACTTCGAAATGTCTCTCTGCCACTTCTGAAAGCACTCCATTTTGTCCAATACCTGCAGTGTTTGAAATAAAAACAACATTCTTGGCAATACATTCATCTTAATCGCAGCAATTCGGCCTAACAAAGAAAGTTTCAATTTTGACCAACTGTCTAAGTCTCTCTTAATTTCTATCCAACATTTTTCATAATTATCCTTAAATAGACTTAGATTTTTGCTGTTATGTTTACCCCTAGGTATTTTACTTTTTAACCACATTAAGTTCCGTCTCATTCTGAAACCGTTCTGACTCTGTCTCAGTCAGATTTTTCCCCAAAACCTTAGTTTTCTGTTTGTTTAATTTAAATCCCGCCACCCGACCAAAATCATTAATCAATTGTAATACTCTTTTCGTACTAGGCTCTGGCTTCTGCAAGGTCAAAACCAGGTCATCTGCAAAAGCTTTTAATTTATATTGTTTCTGACCAACCTGAATTCCTTCCACCAGCTGGTCCCCTCTAATCATGTTCAATAGCACTTCCAGGACCGAAATAAATAACAAAGGGGAAATAGGGCAACCTTGTCGTGTCCCTTTTTCAATTTTGAACTCTTCTGTAACCACATTATTAACTATCAGTTTTGCTTTCTGTTCTGAATATATCGCCTCAATCCCATTCTCAAAACCCCGTCCCACTCCCATCTCTTTTAAGTTTCCCATCATAAATTTCCAAGAAATGTTATCAAAGGCCTTCTCCGCATCTATAAAAATTAAAACAGCTTTTGTATTTATGTCAGTTTGGAGAAGTTCCAAAATATCAATAATGTTCCTTGTGTTAGCAAACAAATGTCTACCTGGGAGAAAACCGGCCTGGTCCTTATGAATTACTTCATTTAAAACTTTTATAAATCTACTTGCCAAAATATCTGCAAATATTTTGTAATCCACATTTAAAAGGGAGATGGGACGGTAGTTCTTCAGTTGTGTCTTTTCAGTTTCTGACTTTGGTATCAATGTGATAAACGCTTCCTTCCACGAATCCGGTGCCCTCTTCCCCTCCATAATTTCATTGCTAACCTCCATCAAAGGTTGTATCAAATAGTCTTTTAGTATCTTGTAATACTTGGAGGTCAGCCCGTCTGGCCCTGGAGATTTGCCAAGTTGCATGTTCTGAATAGCTTGTTCAATCTCCTGTCGTGTTATTTTAGAGTTCAGGATTGTCCTATTTTCTTGTGACAGTTTAGATAATCCATTTTTTGCCAAAAATTGTTTAATCTCAACTTCGTCTTGCGGCCCTTGGGTATATAATTTTTTAAAATATCTCTGGAAACACTTTCTAATGTCCACCGGATTCTGAATGTTTCTTCCATCAACCTCTAAATTTGTAACCGTGTTTAATCTTTGTCTTCTCTTCAACTGCCAGGATAGCAGTTTTCCACATTTATTCGCCGACTCAAACGTTTTTGTTTCATTAATTTGATCTTCCATTCAATTTCCTGATTTATCAATTTAGAATACTGTGTTTGATACAGTTTAATTTCTCTCAGAGTTGGCTGTGACTTTGGATTCACTCTTAATTTCTTCTCTAATTCTTTTATTTTATCCAACATCTTGTCTTTGTTCTCATTTTGTGTTTTTTCTTTACTACATTCTGTTGTATCAGGAATCCCCTCATAACAGCTTTGCTTGCGTCCCAGACGATTCTTTTTCCACCGAATTGTTCATATTTATCTCAAAATAATCTTTCAAAACTTTTTGGGCCTTCTTGGTAATTTCCTGATCTCTAAACAAATTGTCATTCATCTTCCATCTAAAGGATCCAGTTGGTAGTAGTGTCATGTCCATCTTTACTGCGTTGTGGTCAGAACAGGTCTTTGGGCAGATTTCCACTTTTCTAACCCTAGGTGCCAGGCCTCTAGAGATCCATATTTGGTCGATTCTTGTCCAGGTCAGTTGGGCTTCAGAAAAGAATGTTCCTTCTCTACCTAGTGGGTTCTTTGTTCTCCAAATGTCGATCAAGTCCATATTGTCAGTCATTTCAAAAAAAGTTTTAGGTAGTCTGCCATCTTTTGTGATGTTTTGACTTTGCGACTTGTCCATGTTAGTTGACACGACCCCGTTCATGTCTCCCATCATTATGATGTTGTTGTAATCCAGATGATCCAGCATTGTCCCCTGCAACTTCTTGTAAAATTCCGATTTCCCTTCATTAGGCGCATAGATTCCTAGTATCAGCAGTTTCTCTCCTTGATATTGTATCTCAATAGCCAAAATCCTTCCATGCTCATCTTTAAATAGAAATTTAGGTGACAGGCTCTCTTTTGCATATATCACCACTCCTCTCTTCTTCACTTTATCCGACGAAATAAATTCCTGGCCCAATCTTTTATTTATTAACACTTTTCTGTGGAGCCTCGTCACATGTGTTTCTTGTAAGCAAATAATGTCCAATTGTTCTTTTTTAATATATGAAATATTTTCTTCCTTTTCTCCGGAATATTGCAACCATTAATATTCCAACTCAACAGTTGCAGAGACATCCTGGATCTATCTGGTTATTTCTCCTGGGGTGGTGTCTTCTCTTGATCTTCAAGTTCCCGAGGTGGAGGTATTGATGCTGGCTTTGCCTCAGGCCCGGAAGGTAGTTCAATTCCTTTATGTAGGTCCTCTCCGTGTGTAGCCAAAAATTTATCTCTCTCTTCCAATGTTCTGATTTTAACCTTTCTCGCTCTAAAGGTAAAAGATAATCCTTGGGGAAAATCCCACCTGAATGGAATTGCGTTGCTCCTTAATAGTTTAGCAAGTTCGGAATAGGCGGCTCTAAGGTCCAACAGTTGTCTTGGGATATCTTTATATATCTCAATTCTTCTATCCAAAACTTCCAGTGACTTTTCGTAATGTAGGCCCAAAATCTTATCCCTTTCCTCCTTCGATCTCAATGTAATCAAACAATCCCTGGGCCTCTCCTTCTTTGTAAATCTTCCAAGTCTGAAAGCTGACACAATTTTAAAGTCCTTTTCTTCCAAATTCCAGAACTTGGAAAGTTCTTTGGTCAAAAACTCAGTTAGATTTCCTTCTTCTGCCTCTTGTAATGATCTAATCCTCAGATTATTCTCACGATTTCGCAGTTCTATCATAGAAAGATAAGTCTGATGTTCCCCAACTTGTTTAGTGAGTGGTCTTACCTCTTGCTCTAAATTTTCCAATTTTTGTCTGGTATCCTCAGCCAATTTTCGGTTTTCTACTGAGGCCTCCGTCAACTGTCCAATTGCTTGTGTATTCTGTCCCACCTGTGTAGTTAATTTGTTTAGACAATCTGTATTTTTATCAATCTTTGCTGATTGCGCATCTACTTTCTTGTCCAAAGCTTCCAATTTTTCAAAGATTTTTCTAGCACAGAAACAGATGCTCCTGAGGCCATATCTTCCAATTGTAACTGCTCTACTTCACCCTCTCCCTCTTTTGCCTGTGACAAGGCAGCTTCTTCAAGTTGTACTTCTGAGGGCAAAGTAGGCACAGATGATCTACGTGTCTGCGAGGTTGAGGTTAGATTTGTTAGAGTTGTTTGTCTAACTCTTCCTCTTCTTCTTGTACCACTCATTCCAATGTTATCTATCAGTCAAGGTCACACTGAGTTTTTCCCACAGGAATAGAGAGGCCCAGAGCAAGCAGACAGCAAGAGAATCGAAAGTAAATGTTTTTATAAAGTCACTGTTTTAATCCAGTCCTCTAGGGGGAGCTTAAAGTGTCTTTTCAGAGTCTAATTTAATGTCCCAGAACCTTCCAATATAAGTATTAAGCAGAGTTTAAAAGTAATCACTTTGTTGCAGACAGTGCTTATTTGTCTCCAAAAGAATGTTTCAAATTTAAAAGGTCTCAATACCCTCAGATTGTTGCAACTTCTAATATACAGTATCCAAGTCAAACACTGACAGCCCACTGTTACAGTGCTCAAGCAATCCTGACTCTGGGTTTCACCTTCCAATTTGTAATCCAATAAAAGGGGAAAGTCAAGTGCAAATAAAAGGTCCAAATCTTTAACTTGCTAATTTTACTTTAAATTGTAAGTTCCATAGATGCTTGGCTGTGTAGAGTTTAAAATCTCTTTCTTTCAGCCTCCACTCCTCCACTTTAGTTGCTTTTTTTCCAAGTTCAATGGCAGCGGAAGACGGACTTCCTGTTTCCACGTCTCTCCGCTTTCAGCCAAATTCAAGTCAATTTAAACCTTCTCATTTAAAATTTGTAATTCCAAGTGATTCAGTCTTTACTCACGAGTAAGTTGTTTTCTGCCAGATCCGAATTTTAGCAGGAAAAGGGTTCAGCGCTCACCGGCAGCAGCAGCGCGGCTTCACTCCGCTGACTGTGAAACGGCTCACAGCGCCGCAGCCCCCCTCCACGCTCCGGAGCCTCTTACGAGGCTCCTTCTGCAGTTGGAGGGCTGCTCTTGGCGCCCGCCGAGCCTCAGGACCCCAGGCTCTTGCTGCCTGGGGTTTTCCTCCTTGGGTCTCCGCTTCGCCGTAGCGGACGACCCGGTTTCAGCGGAGCTTCTTCTCCGATCGGGAGAAGACCGCCATTACCGTTCGCGCCGCCCCCCGGAAGTCCCCAACACTTTGAATTGTGCTCAGAATTGTCCTGGGAGCCAATGTAGGTCTTTCAGGACGTGTGTTATATGGTCTCGGCAGCTACTCCCAGTCACAAGTCTAGCTGTCGCATTAATTGTAGTTTCCGAGTCGGTAGCCTCAGATAGCCCCACATAGAGCACATTGCAGTAGTCCAAGCAGGAGATATCCAGAGCATGCACCACTCTGGCAAGACAGAACTGACCTGCACCTCCATGGACAGCTGTGAGTCCAAAATAACTCCCAGACTGCGCACCTAGTCCTTCAGGGGCACCCACCCACCCCCTGTCTCCCCAAAATAGTACCTCTTGTCAGGATTCAACCTCAATCTGTTAGCAAAGGTCTCTTTCTCTCTATCCTGCTTTCCAGCCTCCAGGCTATGCAGCTGTTGGAGAGACATTTTCACATGCCTTGTTCTCTGCCATGTTCAGAGGAAGACTGCTAGCCTCCCTCCACCCTTTCAAGATGGCAAATTTTCAACTCAGTGCCTTCATCACACAATCAAAGGTTCACTTTCAGTACAGAGCACAGAAGCAAGCAACAGGTAATCATCAACTAGTTACAGCTCAGAGTCCTTTAGAAAAACTCTTTGTGAGTCGAGGACCCACCACCTGCATAGGATTATAATAAGACACAAAGACACATTATTTTAGGTTAATGGGCAAAATAAGGCCACAACTTTATTGTTTACAGCATGTGAGTAGTGTTGGCTTAGGCATTGGATAAAACAGCAATACATGACTCCACCCCGTTCATCAGGGAGTCATTTCAGGGGTTAAGAACTAGTGGGAGGAGCTAGTTGATGCAAATACAACTGGAAGCTTCCCCATGACATCACCGGGGGTTGTGCCATGGCCCTAGCCACCAGCAGGGCATCGGACAGGATCCACGACAGCCAGATTCCTTTAACGGAATACCCAAAAGAGGAGGGGTAGATGATGGCCCTTAAAAAACATCTTAAAAAGCAGAGACATCACCTTGCCGGCAAAGGTCCGTATAGTTAAAGCTATGGTTTTCCCAGTAGTGATGTATGGAAGTGAGTGCTGGACCATAAAGAAGGCTGATCGCCAAATAATTGATGCTTTTGAATTATGGTGCTGGAGGAGACTCTTGAGAGTCCCATGGACTGCAAGAAGATCAAACCTATCCATTCTTAAGGAAATCAGCCCTGAGTGCTCACTGGAAGGACAGAGCCTGAAGCTGAGGCTCCAATACTTTGGCCACCTCATGAGAAGAGAAGACTCCCTGGAAAAGACCCTGATGTTGGGAAAGATGGAGGGCACAAGGAGAAGGGGACGACAGAGGACGAGATGGTTGGACAGTGTTCTCGAAGCTACCAGCATGAGTTTGACCAAACTGCGGGAGGCAGTGGAAGACAGGAGTGCCTGGCGTGCTCTGGTCCATGGGGTCACGAAGAGTCGGACATGACTAAACGACTAAACAACAACAACAACAAAGAGGATGGCCCATACCCTATCCTCCAACACAGCACACCTATTCCAATGCCTAAGCGCCGGCTGAAAGGCATGGCTGCGGCAGCAGAGGCAATCGGAAGCAGGGAGCTGAATACGCCTCCCTGCCACTGCGGGAAGCTCCTCCCACTCACAACTCCTCCCCTCTGGGAGGAGAAGAGGCCTTGTGGAAAAACGTCCGTGTTTAGCAATATACGTTTAGCCGTTCTCCATTTAAAACCTTCATTAATACATATACATTTTTCATTTCTGTGTGAATTAAACCCTTATACTTGAGAAAGTATACCTGACTTTTTTCCTTCTCTAAGTACCAGTATGGGGAGGAGGGATTTGGGGGTGCCGAACCCAAGAGGGGGAGATTTTACCCTTCACTTCCTGACCTTCATCCTAACAAAGATTGTCCCAAGGGAGGAGGAGACGTTCCTATTGCAGGCAATGAGAGCTCTCCCCCCAAGCTAATCTCAGCACAGGGAGCAATCTATATTGGCATTTCAGCTGGGAAGGGGAAATGTCAACTCTCCGCTCCCCTGATGCAAATTGGACCCCTGTGCTGTAATTAATAGACACTCACCTCCTGCCCCACTCCTGGCATGCTTCTTAGCAATGTATTTAGCACAACGGGAGGAAATTTTGTTCATATTTTAACAAGGAATCGCCTCTCCCCTAAGCAACATGAGAACCAAAACACAGAGAGCTGAATTGAAGATCGGAAAAAATGAGAAAATCCAAAATGGACAGATTCCTCTACTGGGGTGGTGCAGGGCTTACTGTTCTAATTGACAGAGTGAGGCAGACTGACTCAGGCATCAGATTTAAGAAGCACATACTCCTAAAGCGTACTAAATACTAGTTTATTTAGTTTATTCTGTTAATTTTACCAACTTATGGTGACACCATTTAGAGAGATGAGCAGCGGCGTAACGTGGGTTGTCAGCACCCGGGGCAAGGCAAGTAATTTGCGCCCCTGCACCCGGGGCAAGGCAAGTAATTTGCGCCCCCTAACCCGGGGCAAGGCAAGTAATTTGCGCCCCCTAACCCCTAACCTGCCGCCGCTGCCAGCTTCTTCTTGCTGCTGCCTGGGCTGGTCTGGTGTGGTTCTCTCCTGCGCTCAGCGCTGCGCTGGGCGGCCGCTGCACTGTCCCTCCCCCAGATAGTCCCTCGCTCTCTCTCCACACCGCACGCCTGGCACCCACCTCCTCCACAGTGGGCGGCGACCCAGCGGCTCGGATCGGATTCGCACAGCCAGCACTGCAGTGAGAGAGAGTGAGTGAGCCAGGTAGCCAGGTAGGGGCAGAGAGCTGCGAGTGCGAGCGCGCCCCCCCCAGATGTTGCGCCCGGTGCGGCCGGCCCCCCCTGCACCCCCCCATGCTACGCCACTGGAGATGGGTGTCTGTAGGTGCTTTAGGAGGTTTGCATTCCTTGTCACATCTTCCATCAGAAGGACATGGTTTGCTCCAGTTGTTTCAGCTATCAGGTCAGGGATTAGTTGGCGCATGGAACAGCAGCTTTACCTG